GCTAAAGTAGGTATGCTGTGTAGAGGAAGGGATTGTTATATACCATACAGTAAGCATATACTACTTGATGGACTCCTCACTATACTCTCCATATGGCCATTTCAAACACTACTCAAACCACCTACCTTTCCCCACTTACACTGATTGCTATAACTCGTACTTCATTGGGAAAATAGAAATTTTTGGAAGGAAATTGTTTTATCTTTCCACCAGCAAGTTCTTAGTCAAGTTCATTTTTTAGTTAATTAATTAATTAATTTTATTTAACAATTGTACCTACTGTCTGCATGTTGGACTTAGAGAGCTTGTTAAAAATATAAGTTCCCAGGAGTCTTCCTTCTGTACGCCAAAGCAGTAGTCAGTGTAGGAAGACATCAGGGTTGAAACCCATAACTGCGCTGCAACTCCATGAGGATATGCTCACCATTCTAGTCACCTGCTTTTACTTAATTGCTTTTTGTTCGATACCAGATATCTTTCTCTGCCTACAGGAATCCTACCCACGTTGAGGCCCAGTCCAAATGCAGCTGCAGTTTTATTGAGATATAATTCATATACCATAAAATTCTCTTGTTTTAAGTGTATAATAGTGATTTTTGGTAAGGAATCATCAATACAATCTAATTCTAGAACATTTCCATCACCACAAAAAGATCCCTGTGCTCATCTGTAATCACCTCAGTTGAGACAACTACTAGTCTACTTTCTGTCTCTATAGATTTGCCTTTTCTGGACATTATATATTATCCAGACATTTATAATATCTAGTCTTTTGTATTGGCCTTTTTTTTTGATTTGCTTATACAGTCAGGGTCAGGCCCAGGCTAGAGTGCAGTGGTGTGATCGGAGCTCACTGCAGCCTCAAACTCCTAGGTTCAAGAGATCCTCCTGCCTCAACCTCCTGAGTAGCTAGGACTACAGGCATGCACCACCACACCCAGCTAATTTTTAAATTTTTTGTGGAGATGGGGTCTCGCTGTGTTGCCAGGCTGGTCTTCAACTCTTGGCCTCGAGATCTTCCTGCCTCAGCCCCCAAAGTGCTAGGATTACAGATGTGAGCTACTGTACTCAGCCTATATTGGGCTTTGAAGAAAATCTTCTGATTATTAAGAAAATTAAAATGATGCTTCTAACCAATGACAAAAAAACTTGAGATTTTGTAGTGGTTCATGTAAGGGAATTGAAGTGGTATAACTAAAGCGGTAGCATAATCATAATTGTTGTGTCATAATTTTATATTTCTTTTCATTCTTTATTAGGAAATACTGCACTAACTTATGCCTGTGCTGGAGGATTTGTTGACATTGTGAAAGTGCTACTTAATGAAGGTGCAAATATAGAAGATCATAATGAAAATGGACATACCCCCTTAATGGAAGCAGCTAGTGCAGGTCATGTGGAAGTTGCAAGAGTTCTTCTAGATCATGGTGCAGGCATCAACACTCATTCTAACGAATTCAAAGAAAGTGCTCTTACACTTGCATGCTACAAAGGTACTTTATATATACATGAATGTTTATAATTTTTCCTAATAACTCAATATTTGAGTTAATTTTATATTGCTTATGTTTTTCCTGTGCTATAAAATTATCTAGTTTATAAGAGATTATTTAGAAAGGTCATTTTATTAATAGCCTTTATTACCTATAGTATAGTTTTTCAGTCTATGTTTCTTTATTATTTTCATTCAGATTTATTCAATTATTTATGAAGTAAATCAAACCACTTAGCACAGATTTAGAGGTTTTCCATTATTTAATAACTTCTGTTTGAGTTAATTTTATATTGCTTATGTTTTTCCTGTGCTATAAAATTATCTAGTTTATAAGAGATTATTTAGAAAGGTCATTTTATTAATAGCCT